CCCAGTGTAAGATTAATTAGTGGCTGAAGGCGCGGTGATTTTGGTGCTTTGGGCCAAGAGTCTCGGCAGATGTCGCTCTACAGTTGGGTTCTCAGGTTTTGGCTATGGCTCTTGTCCGCCAGCTCCTGAGAGGGATAATGCATGGCGAAATCTTCACGGCGTTTGCAAGTCCAGTTGCTGAGATCCGTACTCCAAAATATTGGCCCATCGGCATCTTCACTGGCCTCTCTTACATTAACATGGTCGCAGCTTGGGGCGGCTGCTCGGCTCAGCCTGGGTTTGTGACACTGTTTTGTTTACAGTGCCAAGTTCAACTGGTAGAGCTGACCGCTGTCGACTGACTGAGGCTACATTTTTGTCCTCAACATGATTGGCGTCCATGCTCTCATGCTGGTACTTCTTGGCCGCTTCAACAGTGGCGTGCACAAGTGCGCCATGCAGTTGAGGTTTAACTTTAGCACCGAAACCTTTGCTCGCGTTTGCTGCTTCAATCGCCCAGTACTGATTTCTCGGCTCCCACTAGATAGCGCGAGATGGTCAGGGCCTACTCCATCTTCTTCTTCGTCGGCACGCTGGGCGCGATTCAGATCCCTGTGGTGGGCATGCAACCCTTGCGGTCCCTGGAGCAGATGGGGCCTCTCTTGGTCTTCATTGGCTATCAGGCTGGGATGACTTGAGGGTTCGCAATGGCAGAACTCCACTTAAGCCCCATGCTGGAGGTCAAACACGGTACTTCTTTAGGCGCCGGATTTCGATCTCTTGCAGCATTAGCTGTCAGGTGAGATGATCTCACCTCACTTGAGTAGGAGGCTAAGTCCAAGCAAGGAATGCCAAACCAATGCTCCAGGGCGTTATTGTAGGACTTAGGTTTGCTTGGCGTACTTAGGCATCATTGCTTCAAGCACGGGTGCGGAAGGTACTGGCCTTTTCCGATTTCATGCGCCACAAGAAGAAGATGGGCACCATGGAATTCGTCAAATTCCGCATCATGTGCCCGGACTGCACGGAGTTTGAGGCTAGAAAGAATCCACGGCACACCCATGCTTGAGTGGATGTTTCTGCAGAAGCATGCAGCAACAAGTCCACAACTCACGCGCTGGCACAGGATGTGTATCCTCGCAGGCCTTGCTTTGATTGTGGTTGCTGCTGCTCAGACTGCACAAACGTTTGAGTTTATCCTTCTCATTTGCCTTCCGGGCAGTTCATCAACGATGGTAGCTAGGAAGGCAGACAAGGATTGACCGACGACCGTAGCATCTCCCAGGTTCTGCTGTATCCCACCGGGTATTTTGGCCCGCTGTCCTCGCGCATCCGCGGCCGCTTGGCAGGAATTCGAGAAATACTGCAACATAGCATGGCGGCATGGCGGGTCTATGCGGCAATTGAAAGATTGAGGAAAGTAAAGCCTATCTTCCTCAGATTTCATCCGGCAAATGGTTGACTGATCTTCTCCCATGGTCCAGCATCCCAGCTTAACTCTGCGCAGCAGCAGCAGCAACAACAACAACGACGCATGTACCCAGTAATGCCGAGAAGTCTTTGGCTACAGTAGCCCTGTTTGGTTACACACCTAGCTTGAAACACAGAGGCCGCATCAGCCTTTGGCTCAAGCCATGCAGCTCTCCAGGTCATTGTCCGAGCCGAGTTTAGCCAACGGATTGCCCGGCTGGCGCTTGCCGCGAGAGGGCCCGACCAATGGCGGAGGTGATGTGAAGGTCCTTGAAAGGACTGCAAGCGTTTCACAGATTGCGCCGACGCAAAGACCAAGGTGGACAGAAGCCCATGATAAGATTATATAGATAAGTAGCCTCTCTCAAGACTCAGCCCAGGCGGTATGCCCAGCAGCCCGAACGAGCGCGTGCTGCTTGCTGATGGTACCCATACCCCATGTGCCTTGCCCTGAGGAGCATACTGCACAGCTTCAGCTCCGCAGAGCCTCGGTCACTACGGCTTCCTCGGCCTCGCACGGTTCCGTCTGGCAAGACACCCCGCTCGCTGGACGTGTCCACAGCGCCTTGTGCCAAGCGCAGGGTTTCTCTGGCAATAAAACATGTGGCAATAACCAAAGACTAAAACCTGCGTATCCCTGGCTCTTTAATTTTGAGCCACACCCACGTGTTACAAAGAGCCTGAGGTTTGTTGTTAATTAAAACAAAAAGAAGGAACACAGGGTGTCCATTGGGCGAGATGCAGCTGAGGTCGGAGACCTATCGCCTGGTGCCTTCAGCGATGTGCTTCAAGAACACTCGCATGCCCATGTTCATCACAGGCCCGGAGTGGTGACAAAGGAATGTTTGACTGCGCAAATCCCCACTCCTGAATACCCCAACTCAAATTGAGATGACACTTGGGGTTTGTCTTGCAAGTGATGCTAGGTGATGCTAGGTGTTGTTGCTGAGTACAGCATGGGGCTGGCAGACTGGCTCTGACAATCCCCGGGGCCGGTTTACATGTACACTCGCGTGTCAGGTACAAAGAGCTGCTGGTGAAGCGAAAGAAGACGGATGCGACCAGAGAGCGAGATCAGAAACTAATCAAGCTTATGGTTGAGCGTCGTTGTGATGAGCGCCAGGCGCGGATGACACGACTGGTTCAGGCCGTCACCGGCAAAGGCCCTGACCATGAAGCCGCTTGCCAATTGAACCAGTACCGCAAGGACAAGGAGGAGCTGGTGCTCAGGCATTACATTGACTGGGACAAGAATGTCTATGGCCCGGCGGCGAAAAAAGCCTTCAAGCACCTCAACCGGCCAATGAGGAAGAGTCTCAGCTTCACGCTGGAGACGGAGCCTTTCAGACTTCCAGCCAATGCCTCGAAAGATCCGGCGAAACGCCAACTCTTGCAAAATGCATCCGAGAAGTCCTTCAAGGCACAGCTGGAGTCCACCCTGGGCGGCGAGCCAACGCCGCGGAACCTCTTGCAGTCTCGGTCGCGGCCGGTTCTGGAGCCCGACACCTGGGGCATGCTTCTGGGTTCAGCATGAGATGCCCACGTTTACGTTTAGAGAAGAATGAGCATAGCGATATGAGCCTGTACGTTGCTCATTCTGAGGTTTGGCAGCTCTGTCTTTGGCCGCTTCAGTGGTCAAAATGATCCGCGGAGCAGCGGGCGGCTGCGCATCGGTGGGCACAGCGTGCATCTCCCGGATGAGAGCGACTTCCCCGTGGCTGGCACGCGCCACAGCCGGCTCTTCGGGTACCACGACAAGGGCATCCTGGAGGGCTGCCGTGCACTGGGGGAGGTCCGAAAATCAAAATGGCAATACATGGCAAAACGTGGCTGACAGATCATCCTGGAATGTTGTGCAGGAGCATTATCCGCCTGTTTTTCTTGAGATGCCCTGAGGCCACCGTCTTCAAGAATGACTTTGGTGCATCTAGTGGTGCACCAGCTCAAGATCACTTCACCTACGAGTGCGGTCCGGAGATCACGGCGTTGGACTTCCCCCCGGGCAAACAGACCTTCGGGGGTCAACAATGAGACAGGTAGGTCAATCCAATGGCGTGCTGGAATGTGTGTGTGTGTGATGTTATGATCATTATTGGGGTCGGGAAACCTTGGCCAACTTGTCTTTGCCGCAAAACCAGCTGCTCAACTTCATTCAGCACACCATTCTTCCCTTGCGAGGGAAAAGTTGGTGCTCTGAGCGTGAGCACCACGTAGCTAGGTACCTGGCAGTTGCCAACTTGGCGACAGCCCATGCATGCTGAAACAAAGCTGGCGAATGCAGCCACGGAGAAAGAACTGGTTGATCACGATTGTCCACACGGAGAATCGTGTGTCATGTTGGCGCATTTGCTGTTTCTGTGTGTATATATGTTTGATCCTGCACTTGTGTTTGCGTTGTCTCAGTTCATGCGTCTCTAACTGCTTGTGTGGGTGTGCGGGTGTGAGCGCTGGTGGGCGCGTACAGGCACAATCGGATGTTGGCTGCCGTTGCCAAGCTAGGTTGCAGGCATTGCAGTGCTGCTCAGAGCAAAATGTGTGTTTACAGCTTCAATCTCATGTGCAGGTTTGGACTAGGACCTTAACACACGCACGCTCACACAATTTCAAGCCCAAGACATGTGCAGCGCCATTGCCCTGGCTGGAGCGCTGGCAGAATGGCACTGGGCCAGCAACTGCCTCCACGACCACGTGCTGCAGTTTGCCCGCGTGCATAGGGCACGCCTGACTCCGATAGGCCGGAACGAGAAAAGATCCCTTTTAAAAATGAAAGTGAAAGCTATTTTAGTTTGGGTCATTTTGGACAACATAGTTGCTGGCTTCGTCACGTGAGTCCACTACCCATGTTAGCCAAAGCATAGTGAGCCGCTTCAGTGCAATCACAGAGTGTGACTCAAGGGAGTGTCATGCTCTGAAGTTCTCCAGGGTCCAGGCTTGGTGTGCTGTCTTAACTGGATTTCGTCCAAGTCGCTTTGATAGGCCAAGAAGCTGCCTTTGCACTTCCCACCGGATAAACAGCCCCACTCGATTTGCATGCGAGACCTAGGTGACGGTGAGCACACACACGACGCCTACCTGCTTCACAAAGAGTTCCAGAATCAGTTGGAGGCGCTAGGGAGGGGAGCATAGCTAGCCTTTTTGTTTTCGTCGAAAAATAGATGGCGATTCCTGGTTTACCTGGTGGTTGAATCATCTACCAGGGGCCATCTATTTCCCCTCAAAGGACACCTATGGAGAGGAGGCATAAGAAAAACAAGTCAGCAGACGCAGCCCAGGGCTTCATCAGCAGCTTCCTGGCGCAGCAAAACGTGTCCTATGAGCACTTGGAGACCGCACTTCGGGAAGCGCAGGCCTCGGAGGACCTCTACACTTCTGCCAGCACCTGGGATGCTGGACCATCCCCAACCCCCCCAAAAAAAAAGGAATTGGGGGAGGGGATCTCGACCACTGGAGATCTCCAGTTGTGGTTCCATTTTCCCTTTTTATGGGGAAGACTAGATAAATGGAATTGGGGACCCCCCACCCCCCTCCCCTAAAGGTAGGGGGGATGCTGGAACATAGGATTTGAACGCTGTGGCTTCCTTGCTCCATGGCCAGCGCAAAGCGATGAAATGCTCAGTTGTAATTTGTTTGGAGTATTGCGTGACCAAACAACATGTTCTCAAACTAACTCATGATAGTCCATCCCTGACATGCTCTAAATAATGAGCTCATGCCACTCAAAGAGAGTGCTGTTCTTACAATACGATCCTTTTGTTTTCAGCCTAGATACTCTTGGCCACTAGTTCTTTCTACAACTTGGCAAACATTATTAATTACACAACAAACAGTGGAATGGTATGAAAGCTTAAGAAGAGCTGTTTGTCCGAGAAACTCGTACATACTGTCTGAAAAGAAGAAAAGAGGATACAAAAGGGGAGAAGAGAAGAAACTGATACCACAGACGCATTTTCAAAACAGGGGACAGAAGGCAACAAATATATAAATGGAAGTGCAAACATATGCACATTTCGCAGTACACATTCGCAACAAATGCCGCTGCAAAGATTGCCAGTTGCAGAATTTGATTTGTGGATAATTGGCCAATGTGCAAGCAGGACACGGCAAAGAGCGCAACAAACTTGCGCCAAGGCAGTGTCCGGACATGTTTGACCAAAGCTCGACGACGGAAAGGATAAAGGAAGATCAATCGTACGACGATGTCGCACGGTTGCACCAAGATGGCTAGTAGACATGTTCATTTCGGGCCAATGCACGAGCAGAGAAAAGGAAGAAAGTACAAATGCACGGCAAAGATGGACTAGCCACGTGTCGCAAAAAAGATAAGGTGAGAGACACGGAGAAACTACAAGGATGCACCTAGGCAAAATCAAGAATGCACAAGAGAAACAACTCGAAAGTGCAAGCACCAAGACTTCAACAAATCATACCAAGCACACTTTTTGAAGTAAATGATGGAGAGATTCTGGCATTCTTAAATTTACTGAATAGCCACCAGCTATGTGCAGATGTGGCTTAGAGAAAGAGACTGCAAACAGAGCAAGCTGTGAAAATATTTGACATCTCCAAAAGGTTTTGCCTAGGGGTTGTGTTTGGTTCCATCGAGTGAAAGTCCTCAAAGTTTTTGCCTGGATTATGTTTTGGGCTGCTCATTCTTCGACGTTGTGCTTGCGTTGTTTTTGGTGTTTGAATTTGCTGGCTTTCCGCACAGGTCCCACGGCGGGCCCCTCTGCAATTTGTAATGGCCGCCTTTGTTGGCTTGCCTTGCACATGTCGTCCGTGTCGAATATTTTCCGAACAGAGGTTGTGAAGTGGTGACTGATGAGCTGTTCGCGCTGTTGGACTTCCAGTCTTTCCAACAAGTCATGCAACGGGCCTTGACCAGCGACAGCGCTGTACAAGGATACCCAGCCAACCATCCTGGACAGTGACAAGCTCAGTGAAAGAGCAAGGGTGGACATCTCGGCGCGGACGTACACATGAAGTCTTCGAGGCTTGCAACCTACTGAGCTGACTTTGCCGAGCAGCAATGACCATGACATGTGCGATGGCAAGTTCGAGATTTCGCGATGAAGCTGCTTTCTTATGTCTTCACGTGATTATGCAGCAGCTGCGGCTTGAGGGCGGCATGATGGAAATATTCACTGCGGCCCTGGCAAAATGCCAGAGAGTGCCGCAAGCACGGGGCACATGCCAAAGTGCAGCTGTGCTTCTCCATTGGAAAAAGTTGGACCTTGAAGTCCCGATGGCCTTGGCATGCCTTGACCATGTGCGATCCCAACAACTAGCATAGCCGTAGCCATGACACGCCATGACATGAGCAAGTGAAGGAATACAGTACCTACACGAAGCTTTCCAGCCCATCACCTGTTGAGCTTGCTTGGTGTGAGCGAGAGATCAATTAAGGACTCTTCGTGAAGCACACCAAGACAGGCCGCACCTGCCACACATGTCCCTCCTCGTCACTTGCGGGTTGATGAGGGTTGCTAGTGCGAGAACCACTGTGATATTCACTCACCTGCCGAAGCTTCACGCGTGCAGCAGCCAATTATTTGTTGCCAATCCCATTGTGAGCATGCGGTTCTGCATTTGTATGCGCTCTTTTGGTTGGCTTGCCACAGCATGTCTCTTGCAAGTGGCGCTATCATCAGGCAACCCGCTCGTCGACTCCGTGGCAGAGCACCAGCCAGCCAATCCAAGGATATACGCCATTCGGCAGGGAATCAAAGACACCCCCCGGATTTCACCTTGTGGCATTGGGACGGTCCCGTTGCACCAAGGAGAACCAAACCAATGGGATTCCATTTTGGGGTAGGTGAATTCACTACCCATTTTAGAACCTATTTTAGTGGGGATTGAGATGTTCACTGGGGGTGCGATTTGGGCTTTGACCCATGGCAGAAATGCATATGCATACTGAGGCAACTCACCTGGGCTTGCCCCTGGACTATGCGCTGCTGGGTGGCCTCATTTGCCTGTTCCACCGCAATAATGGCGCCGGGCCAAGTCCTGGACGATTCAAATCAGGTCAGTTTGGCAGGTGCCCGTTCCAAGCGCTTGGCAAGTTCTCCCTCACCTTGCGGACAAACGAATTGGATACTACACTTTTCCGCTGAGATGTTTTGCCAAGCTAAGTCATGGATGATACTGGTTGCATTGCTTGACTTCTTGTGTGGCATGCTGGCAGAAGCTATGCATGGCTGCAAAGGATCCCCGCACCCCCCGCCCCTGTCCCCATGCCTTGCCCAAGTACATGCCTCGGATTGATCATCATTTTGTCCTGCAGGCACTTACCAAGTATTGTGCCAGGTGCGTTTTGCGCAATATCACTTCTGTCATTCTTGCAGCATGGCCTTGCCACTCCCAGGGTGCAGTTTCTTTGGCAGCTTCGTAATTTTGAACCTCAACTTGTGTCAAGCTTGTCAAGCACAGCACGAGGCTTCTATTTCATGTGCCTCTATGGGTTCATCGTCGCAGCCTGAGGTCAAAACCGTGGGTCAAACTGAGGCATAGGCATGGGAGTCTCCGAGGCCTCGCATTTCTCGGGCAAGATGTCCCGCTTGGTGCTGATTTGCGGCCCTATCGTCTCTGTGACTTGTGGCCACTTGCCTGTAGGCATGGTTTTCATGGTTCTGAAGGTCTTCGGCAATGCTCAGGAATTTGGTGCGGCTTCCTTTTGGACCAGGTCCTTGAACCGTTCCTCAGCGTGGACTGCAAGCCATTGTAGCTGGGGGGGATTTGGGCATGGTAGCGAGTTGTTGGGACACTTCGTGTAAGGTTGGGCCAAAATATTCACATGGAGAAAGGTCCTTTACATGGGATGACCATCAGGAAAACCGCCAAGTATTGATGAATCCCCAGATGGGCTCCTTTGCGTTTCTGCATGTTCTGTTCAGGTTCCTTCTTCTGCTCGGCAAGAAGGGCTTTGTCGCGAAGAAACTTTCACCAGCTGGAAATGCTCCACCCGTGTCTGGAGATGGGAAGCTCCTCGGATGCCAGGAAGGAAGCATGCCCACCACATGTCATCATATCGCAACATCAGATTACGTTGTTTGCCGATGAGAGTGATGCTGCTTGATGGGATCCAACATGTGCCAGCATTGCAACTTTCTAGGGGTTGATTCCCCATTCTTGTCAACCATCGTTCTTTTCAAAAACCGGCTGTTTCCCCTGGTTTTTGATGGTTTCCTGAAAAAACTCGGATCCCTGGGTTCAGAATGGGGAAGGCCCTGAAGACTTGCACCTTTCGCCTGCCCAGGTCGGGCAAAGCGGGCAAGACAGACAAGGCCAAGCCTGCTCGACTCTGATCTGTCATGGCATGGGTTTATGGCGTTTTTTCATTGGGAGGGTCCCAGCCTTGGTGTCAAGTCCGCCTTGGTGTCAAGTTGCCCTTTGGCCCTTCAGCTGAGGAAAGGAGGGTAAAGATGGCAAGGAAGCGAAGAGGCAGGTAAGCTCCTGGGGAGCAGTGCAGAATCTAACTTGCCTTAATTTCAGGCAGGACAACATTGAGTTGGAAGAGTATGAAGAGGACTGAGTCCGATCAAGAAACAAATGAAGAGCTGGAATATGTTTGATCCGCTGGGTATGCAGATTCGAATGATTCGCGGCCTGTAGGAGTTCCGGCCGGGTGGCGCGATGCAAATAAAGAGAATGGTGAAGAGCTACCTGTCGTGGATAAGAGTTGGTCTCGAACCAAAGGCTGCACCTGGCTTCAAGGGAAGCCTTCCACTTTGGCAAGGGAAGCAGCTTTCGGTTTTGCTTAGGCTACTACGTGAATATGTATTCCGAGGGCAGCCTGCACCTTGGCCATTTTTTCTACATGACGGATCATGTTTCCTTGGCCCAGCGCCAACGCAAGCAGGGTTTCACTTTTTGAGTGCCCCAAGATAGACTTAAACCCAGGGGTTTTCCTTTTAGGGAAACCAGCCATCCATGGGTTTGACCCTTTCTTGGAGTAGACCAAAAGTGGAACCCCGACGCAAGGAATATCAGACTGTGGGGAAACGATGGCAGGAAAGACTTCCAGATCTTCCGTGAAAAGCTGGATACCAGCCTTCCCTTGGTGCTGCTGCGTGCTGTTGCGGCTGTGGTGCACCGGCTGCATTGGCCAAAACTCTAGGGCCAATCAGTGTGTTTCCATCAGTGGTGCGGCAAGTTCTATCAGCAAAAGGTTCTTCGTCCGGCGCGGCAGTGGAAATATGTTGTCCATGGCCAGTTCGGTGGTGTTTAGTTGCATGATTGCTTCCAGTTAGGCTCAGATCAGTCAACCCGCCCAGCTTGCATGCCGCATTTTTTCGTGGGAAACACGCCCACATTGTTTCCTTCAGCAATTTGTGGTCGCCTGTCTCAATCAAGCCGGGTAGGAAAGCTGAAGCATTGCCAAACGGGCACCGGGGAACTAACTTGGTGGGATCAACCAGTGGCTCGAACACGGATGCTCCAAATCGCGCGATCTAAGGCCTTTGTTTTCTACATGCTGACGCTCAGCAGCTTGTCAGAAAGCCGTGAAGCCCCTGAATGCATTTCGATTTGTTTTGTTTGGCAACCGAACGCTGACAGTCATCCCTTTGGCTGTTGACCATCGCCATGTCACTTCCCTTTCGTCGGGTGAGGTGGCATGAGGACAGCCGTGCCTGAGTACATCGAGCATTGCAAAACCATCGGGGAGCACGTGGCAAGCCCCACCGTGATGTATGCGGTGAAGCAAAAGGCGAGGGGGCATATTGGCAGACCATCCAGAGGGGCCTGTGTACAAGGACGGGAGCAACTACATTGTTGATGACTACTACAAAGGCTACAAGTGGATTGAGCTGCCCGGCATGTGTCGATGTGGTGATTGAGATCTAGGCAGCGAGGTGAAACTTGCTGTTTGACGTGGGCAACTCACTGTGTAGCAAATGCGGTTAGCATGTCTGAGGGCAAACACACCCGAAGATTCAAGAGTGATGGCATGGTGGGACTACGGCACCTTTGCTGCACACGGCGTGCTTGATACGCTTGACTTATGTTGTGTTCAATTAGTTTCAATCCTGGCTGCCAGGCTATCAAATCACCGGCATTGCCAACAGGAGAGGCATGTCACTAGAGTGGAAGACTTGCTTTCCAGCTTGCAAGTGCTTAGATCAGCTCGGATCGTTTGATTCACCTGGTAGATATCCAGCCTCAGACGCATGCATGCAATGCCTGATTAGCATGCATCTGGAGGACCACCATTGCAGATGGCAACACTTGGAACCACGAGCATATTGCCACGCTGGGGCGCACGCTCACCAGCGAGGTGCGGGCGAAATGCTCCATGGGCAACTGGCTGTGTTGGCGGTTTGTAGCGTTCAACGTCACTAGAAAGCTGCGCACCTATCAAGAAGTTTGCCCTTTGTCATATTGACATATGAGATATGCGAGCTGTTGCCAGCCCCTCGCAAGTCTTTGGCCTTTGCAGGTAGAAACACTTGCACATCGGCCTGCTGTTGTTTATGAGCATTCGTTCCACTGCCGTTTGGAAGGTGAAGCGTGCGCACAATGCGATTCGGCACCTGGCGGACTACGTGCTAGTTTGGGGCGGTGGACAGTGACTTGGCCAGTCAAGCCAGCTGTCGGTTCAGCGGGTGCCGCCCAGCGCACACTTGTTTTGAGTCAATTTGCACACTGGCGGCAGTATGAGACCCAATCGGCAGGCGGGATGACCTGGGGAAGTCACCACATCTTGCCAGGACTGCTTGAGCTTGGCAGGGCAGGGATTCTGTGCTGCACCCTTGATACAGCAGCTTGGATCACACAATATTTTGCAACCATGCCAGCTGCGTGGTTAGAGGATCGGGAATTCGGTATTTCCAGACCATTGTGGAGACGACGATCCCAAATGCATGAAATTTGGCCCGCGCCTGGGTGTTTGCTGCCAGGCAGCTGTGCCAGAGCAAAAGCTTTGTGCAGTTATTCTTCCCTGAGGCTTTTACCAAGACCGGTCGCCAACACCCATGATGGAAAAGTCGCTCCTGTACAAACTTGTGGAGCACAACGTCAAGAAAGGAGTCAAAGTCAATGAGCAGCTTGGCCACAAGATTGCAGCGCTTCGGTTGAAGCCTGATGCTTCTTGCCACACAGAAATGCAACACAAAAGATTGATGTATGTCGCCCTGCAGAGAGCCATGACTGAGGAAGTACTTCAAACATGTCCACACCACCAAACATGGCCTGATGCCGCTTGGTCAAGCATTTCCAGCAAGAAGTGAAGCCGCAAGCAACAAAAATAACATGGCAGTTGGGGCTGAGGCGAATTTACGAAGTGCAGAACGTCTCACAGGACAGAAGTTGCCTTCAAGAGCTCGCTTTTTGACGGAGGGTATGGGGTCAGGAAAGCAAAGACTGGGTCGCGGATCCAAAGAATCGGCTGTGTGATGTACCTGGCTCATGGTATTGCCCGAGCCCAAGGTAGCTGTGTGCGGCAAGTGATTGGAAGCCTTCTTAGGTCCGGGGCAGTACCCGCCCGCTCTTAGCAAGCTCATATCGAAGAGGCGCAATTTTGCACAGATCGAGGCCGGGAAGTGCAAGAAGCTGCATCCGTAAGCCCCCAAACAATCTAGAAAAAGGAAAGCGGGGCAAAACTCATTTGACCAGCTGGTTTATGACGCGGTGGGGCCATTGACCCTTCGAACTGCTTGATGGTTGCCATATGCACCGGATGCGCGGTTTCCTCTTCGTACAGCCAGGACTTCAATCGCAAGGGGGAGAAAAGCGCCTACACGCGCCTCATCGAGAAGGAGAAGGGCGAGCTCTGAACTGGAGACAAGAGCTGAAATGAAACCGGAAGGCATGTTGCTCACAAATTGTTTGGAGTGGTGGAAGTTATTGAACCGAAACTGAACTGTTGGCACGGACAGATCAAACAATCAGCCCCTGATTGCTTGCTTGGTATGCAACGTTTTGTGGTTAGAGGGTGGCAATGCCCACATTCACAGAGCTTGGGATTGGAGAAGGAGGGCAGGTAAATCAGTTTGGGCTCGCGGTATAACAGATTGAAAGGTTTGTGGTGGCTCTCCTTTTTCTGGCGGCGCTTCCAAGAAATGTCGAAGTCTCGTGCACAAAGTTGAAGAGGTTTCAGCCTCATTGCCGAGGGAAAGACTTGCTTGCAATGGATGAGAAAAATGACACCTTGTCGACCTCTCGGTCGTTGCGCAATGAGTATCAGAGATAGACAGCGTGGGCAAATGGATCAGTTGCATGCCTGGTTTGCCTGCCTGCTTGGCATTCTGGTCATGCGTGAACATGGCACACCCACGAGCGTCCACTATCAGCCTCGCGTCACGTTTCTAAGATTTCATTGTTGACACTCCAACGCCGATTCGCACTGCTGTTTGCTCAAACGAGTTTAAGACTGCACCTTGCTTGTGCTTGACTTCAGCTTTAATAGGGCGTGCATGAACCATTTTGCTTGACGTTAGCGCTTTGCACGCTGAATGACATGATGCCAGCAAGCCATGAGTACCTGTTCGCCCCTCACCCACATTAGCACTCGCAGCATGCCGCAAGCTAGTCTTGTTATTCCCTTCTCAAAGTGCCGCTTTTGAGCGCTTGCCGGCCCATGATTTTGTTGCCTTCGGCAGCTGTCGACCGCAATGCCGCTGTCCGAACGTCCCTTGCAGGTGGGAGAATGGGTGTGTCTTTTTTAAAGGGGACCCCCGAAATGGTGGTGTTCCTTTTGGTGTCCCCCCCCTCCAAAAAAAAAAAAAGGTGCCGTCAAAAGAAGGACACCCAAATCGTCAAAGAGTCCAGAATGGCTCAAGCAGAGAGAGCATGGCACGCCACGAGCCACTCAGGCAGGTCTCTTCTCTTGTATTTCGCCGCCTGGCATGCAACTGTGTGGTGAGTGGCCAATGTTTCTTGGGCCACTCAAAGGGGCTGTGCGCCGATTTTGCAGACTGGCTACAGCCCAGGGGTTGGAAGAGATGAGCCCAGACGCTCAGAGACTCTCAGCCACGCAAGCGGGATGCATTCAAGGCAGGTCATAGAAATGCCATATGGCTGTGGGTCAAAACCAATGGGATCCCATTTTGGGGTACGTGCACCACCCATTTTAGTCTATTTTAGTGGGGATTGGGATGTTGACTGGGGGTACGATTTGGATTTTGACCCATGGCCATATCTTGTTCCATCAAAAACACGCGCGCGGTTGGAACATGCCTAAGGAGAGTTTTTGATCAAGGAAGGGGCACGAAGTGGTGACTTCCTGTGGTTCCACCAGAGCGGGGAATCTTTCGCTTCAACATACAAAGACGCTTCGACGCACGAGAGCGGCAGCAGCATGACACGCTTGCAAGATGCGGCGGGGAAATTGAGGTGGAATTCAAAATTGGCGAGGGTGGCTTCGGGAAAGTGTTTGCATCCTGGCTACAAAATCTGACGCAGGAACAAATCACAAGGGATATTTTGCGAGCTTGGACCGCTGTCATGATATTGTGTGTGCTGGCTTCTTTGCATGAGTATTAGCTCTGAGCATTGACTATTGGACTTGTTGACCAGATTTGTCACGAACAGACTCAGCACACATGCTTCGGCCAAGCTTTCCCACAAGTTTGCAAGCCCGCTGCACGCGCATTTCTTGGATCCTTGTGGCTCCTACTCGATGTTTGCCCAGGCTGTGCTCGTATTTTTTTGGGTCCCCCTCAATGTCAGTGGGCGCCTTGTCGTTGCCTTGCTGAGTCAAGACCCTCTGGACACAATGGCAGAGAGAGAGAGAGAGCAAGAAAGAAGAAAGACAGAAAGAAGGACAGAAAGAAAGGAGAAGGGAGCAAATCAATGGGAGAATCTCATTTTACCAGCCAGCAGGGCAGGGGAGACTCAGGGGAGAACAAGGAGAGTGAAGCAATTGTGCAGGATTGGTTTTGGAGTTACCGTTGCTATTTGAGTGCAACTTGAACAACTTCCGAGCAGATGATTCATGTGCCGCCAGTGCTTCTAGAGCTCAAAAAGTACACGCCTTACTGAATTCAAGGCGATTGTCAATGCTCAAAGATGGCAAAACTGACTCTTGAGGGGAGCAATCAAACATACTATCATATAGAGGAGTTTGGTTTCCGCTTCAAACTTGCCTTCAGACCGACGCTGCACGCCCGCCCAGTCGGCCACCCACAAGCGCACGGGTATTGCACGGGCCGTGAAACGGCTGCACAAGGCGGGGCGTTCGATCTGACGACCGCCATGAATTTCAGGCGGAAGGAAAACAAAAGCACCGTGAAGAGACCCTTTCTGACTGGGAGGCTCGTCTTGTAGGGTTGCCACCTGGCAAGTCTGCAAGAAACCTCGCCAGTTCCTACAGCCCTGGATTCCCTTGCACGATGCATGGCGATGCAACCTGACAAATTGAAATGAGGAATCACCACTTCGCTGTTGCTAGCTCTGTCATGTGCAACGCGCCTAAGCCCCAACTGCTGAACAAGAACAACCCGCTCAAAGCAGAATGGGGGCGACATACAGCACTCACAGCACATGGGAGTGTGTGAGTTTTTGGGGAACCCCCTAACCAGCACACCACCAGGCTTCAAACCGAACAACGAGGGAAGCTGAACCAAGACCCCAAGACCGTCAGGTGCCGGGCAGACAAGAGCTCCATAAGAATGAGCTTGACACGTTGTTGGGCCTCGACCACCCGCACATTGCAGCTGCGAAGCACTCACTGATTTGCGCGAGCTTCGCATTCCATGGACTCATAGGGGTGGAGAAGCATTGCTTCCGCATGCAAGACACTGTTGCAGCCTTTGGCCATGCAGAGCAGAAAGAGGTGCACCATGAACTTGAAAGAACATTGCAGCTGTTCTGTGAAGCAGGCAGCAGTTGAGGTAAAGCTCTTGGAATATTATGACGAAGATGTGACCTTGCTGCAATGCAAGGGGATGTGGATATGGGTCAAAATTAAACCGCCAAGGGACCGCATGTTTCCACTTGCCAGGGTTGCATTTGGGGTACGTATTTTTGACCCACACCCATGTGACCGCTTGCCCAAGTCCTGATCTCCATCATTAAGGAGTTTCTCTACTTAGTCTTCGAGTTGTGCGAGGGCTTGGACTTGCTGGAGACCATCCGAACATCAAAAACTGGAAGGCACCGCTTGAAATGGCGATGTGTTGATGGGGTTCCCCTCCAAAGTGCGTGGTGGACATGGATTTTTCACCTAAATGATGTCCACCAAAGGGTCCCTAACTAAATTCAGAGCCAAATTGCTTGACAGCTTTCATGACTTGCCACTCGGGCGCGCGGGAAGTCAGAAGTCCCTCACGGGCCCATGGTGATGAAAGCGCCAATCTCAGCTCACAATGCTGTAGCGGTGCGGTATCAGGGTGTATAAAGCGTGACATGGGCCTGTGTCAGAGCACCCTTAGCCCCAAATACAATCAATGCATTTTGTATGACACCTGTACATCCTGCCTCCTTATGCAGTTGGCGGCGGTTAACCGCCAAGGTTCGATATCCAGGAGCACCAAACTTCCCATGGAAGTGAAACACCACGCAGCTTAATGAACAGAAGCAAAGCCCAAAGCCATCATAAAGCGGTTTTTGATGCGATGTTTGTGCCCATGCCATGTCCGTGGGTCGAACTTTCCTGGCAGGTTGGGGGAGCTAGAAGGCTCCGTGGCGCTGCGGCACATGCTTAAGGCATTGCAATGCTGCCACTCCCAGTGACTTGACATGTGATGGGTCAAAATAAAACCAGGGCACCACAGGTTGCCTCCAGGTCTCCATTTACCAGGGTTCGGTTTTGGGTACCTATTTTTGACCCACAGCCATGTGGTTTGTGCACAGAAACTGCGTGCGCGTGGCGAGGAGTTTCTCTTGGAAAGAAGGTCACAACGCAGAAAGCGGCCGATGCATTGTGTAGTTGTTGAGTGGCAAGTCACTGCAGTGTTCACCTGACTTAGCACGTGGTATTGAATGGCTTTGCGATGCTACAGTGCCACCCCCGGCTTCTTTTGATTTCATTCGATGTCTTGACGTTGGGGCATGACTCTGATGTACACATCCGTTGTTTAAGCAGCCTATACCTTTTGCCTGCCTGCATGCCTGAATTATCCTGAACTACCAAGGTATCGAGGTCACTATGCTCCCTGGCGGCATGTTCTTGTCCACTACCACTGCCCATTCTTTGCCATACAACCAATCAAACGCTGACATTGCGGAGAATCGACCGCTGAAATGGTGATGACTGAGGACATCAAGCCGGAAAACTTCATGTTCAAAAGCTCCCTGTCCGCACATACTCGGTTGTTTCGTTCTTCATCCCAGGTAGAGACCGGGGTCACATACGTGAATGTCTTCACAGCATGATGGCGAATTCGGCACGAGTATCGTTTTTTGTTCATGATTGTGTTTCAACATGCTGTTGTGCAGAGCCACTGTCAGATGCTGAGAGCATAATGCAAATGATTGCGCGCTCCCAGGATCAACGAGTGGGGAAGACATCGCGCAGGGGAATCTGAAGATTCTTGGCAATGTGTGGGCCAGCTTGGTCGCACACAGCAGGCACCCACGCATGCGTGCGAATCGCAACCGTCAGCATAGTAGAAGTTTGTCCACAGAAGATGCCCGAATATTGCACAAGTCCTCACGCGTTGCTGCTTCCAAGCTGGCGTTCTTTGCGAGCTTTGTTTGCTCATGTTTGCCCAAGGATGGTGGATTTTGGTTTGAGCAGCTGCTTCGACATGCACCGGAACCACCGCATCTCTGGAACAACTGTACCGAAGTCGCATTGTGCTTTCCTTTTGTCTTTTTGCTAGTGGGCATCAACAATAATTGTGAGCAAAACAAAGGGACCACTGTTTGGCTCATTCGCGAAGACACCTGAATAATCCCGAAGCAAATGATTCATTTGCAGGTGCCCCTGATGTTGACACATGCTCGCCAGCCTTTTGGTGCGTTTGTGACTGGGGATGGCGGAGTCACAGCTAAGTAGAATTCGGTTGTCGCCCCGCAGGCCTACATGGCCCCAGAGTTTTGGAGCGGCATTTATGGCCCGGAAGGCCAGAGCAGGGTTTCAGGCCAAAGGCTCGACAGAAGCATTCTGCAGCGGTTTGCAGCGGTTGCGTGGAGAGATGTGGAGAGCCAGGTTTGAAGCTTGAGCGCCCTGTTGGCAGCTCAAGGTGATGTTTGGAGCTGCGGAGTTGTGCTCTTCGTGATGCTCACAGGCGCAACCCTCAAGAGATGGCTGTTTCAGGTGGAAGATGGTGGAAGGTGAGTTTGTGCCAGCAACCCCAAGATTGTCCCGCACCAGTTGGCTTTTGTTTGTTCGACCCTTCAGGCAACAGCTTGGAAGGCTGAATCCATAAAACCTGCCATGCCACTTGTCACCGGAGCCGCTTAGCATCTCGGGGTCATTGTGAAAGTCAAAAGACACGTTGCATTATGTTGCTTAGTGACTGAAAGGGCCTCAGACATGAGACCCTGTGCAACGACATGGACGGAAGTCAATATGAGTCGTTTCGATTTGGTCCCGTTCATCGGGGCTGGTTTCAACAGCGAAACCCTACCTGCGCAGCAGCTGCGATACGCATGCAATTCTTGCACAGCAAGCATCCACGACACCATTTGCACGCAGCCGATGGGCAGGGCCCACCCGCCTTGACGACATCGAGCCACACTTTGAATATCTCTACGGCGCACATTGAAAACCAAAGCACATGCAAACAGGGTATTAGGCAGTCTCGCAATGGGGATTTCTAAGCGGAACACCGTCCCGTGTTTCATGTAGACTGCACGTTGGCCTGTTTGACACATTGAGTCATGCTACTATGCTAGAATCCTTGTCCTTAGTCATTAGTGGCTTCGGTGGCGTCCCTTGCCTTCAGGCACACCACTTCTGGATGACATCTGCCCGGCCACGGTGAAGCGCAACTTGAAAGGGACGGTTGTTCTTGGACACGGGTTTCGCAGCATTGGGCTGGGGATCCCATGGCATGGTTTACAAGTTGGCATAGTTGGCGTTTGAGCTGTGAATGTTTGATGAGCAAGCGGGAGGGCTTCCAAGCTTTCAGGCCCATAGAGCTTTCGGCTTGGCCCCGGGCCTTCCTGCTCCCCAGCTTCATGATCCATTGCTCCCAGCTTCAAGGCCCCGCCTTCACTATGGTGAAACTTGTCCAGGACTTCAAGCTGTTGGCCCTTCCAGGTTGGTTGTTTTCATTTCGGGGGCTTCCAAAGCTTTAGGCGTGTGCCGTTTCCAGCCAAGCTTTCGTGTGTTTGGGACCCGGAGGGTGCCTGAGGACGAGCAGAGCACCAGGTACAGCTTTTGCGTCACTCCCAGAAAAGGATGTTCCACTTCCAGTGAGATCACGCATTCAACTTCCCCCAATGTCCTTCCCTTCCCTATGCATGCGTATGTCTCAATATAGGTGCCCATCACTTATGCATTTAAACCAAGAAACGACTGAAGTGCCATTTGACGGTGTTCAATTCCCATTTTCAGCAACACCCCATGCCCCAAAGCCCAAATTCAATGTCGATCCGCGCAGATCTCGAATGGAAATTCTGGAGGCGCCGCCGTGTTGGCCGATTGCATCCCAGGCGAGACACGGGTACGACATGTACTACAAGAGCGGCTGCAGTGCGCGGCCACGGAGTGCCTAGCCTCGGGAGAAGAAACCGACCAATGCCAAAAAAGCGGCGGTCACAGAAATTCTTTGTAGGCTCCACAAAGCTCGGGAGGTCGTCAAGTTCTTGTTTTGATGTGGGGCCCACTGTGGGGCCCTTTTGTGCCTTGGGATGAGCAAAAGGTGTCAGCGGTTGCTTCTGAAGCTGAACAAAGGTGGAATCTGTCATCAAGCGCTATGGACTTGCTGAAGCAAATGCTACAGCATGATCGGCATGCTCGACCAACCATCAAGGAGGCGCTGAAGCATCCTTTCAACACTGGCGGCTATGACATAGAGAGACAGCAGCTCGGCCAAGCGCATTGAAGTAATGCCTCACAGCACTTGGACATGTTTGTCCTATCCGGCAAGCTCATGGGAACCCTTGGTACCCGTTGTTGTTTTTTGTTCTTTTGTTTGTCAAGCCCCTTGGCACCGGTCCCCCCCCCCCCCCCGTTTTTGTTGGCGCCAGTTGGCGCGCAAAAGTGGGCGTTGCCACTCGCTTATAGCATCTCCCAGGTTGCCATCACCGGAGAGCCTGCAGGCGGGAGCGCTGCTCAAAGAGCTGCCGCATTTGGCTCCTCGACAGGTCAATATGGCTGTTGGTTCAAAACCAATGGAATCCAATTTTGGTTGGTAGGTGAATTCACCACCCATTTTAGAACCTATTTTAGTGGGGGTTGGGATGTTCACTGGGGGTACGGGGTTTGTGACCCATGGCCATATGCTGAATGTGATGCCCGTGAGGGTTGGACTGAGCAGAAAGTCTTTGTTGGGCCTGGTTTAGGTCTAGTTGTGCTTAGGCTTGGCGAAGTCCATCTTAGTTCCCTTGCGATAGCAATGCTGTGACTGGCGTGCGAGCGCAAATGTCGCATGCCAGAGTGCTGGATGTGAACTTGGCAACGGAGACCTGAAAGGACTTTGCCGTGCTCGGCGATATCCGGACACAACATGTGGTTTTGGAGAATAGAAGTTGCTTTATACTGACTTACTTCCTGTACTTGCAACCCGCCATCGGCTCACCAAATCCTGCTGTTGGATCAACACTGCGATTTCCAAGGTTCGGGACATCATGACGGAGCCTATGTTGAGCCTTGGGTAAGAAAGGCCATTTAGTAGAGGCATGGACTTGGCCGGATGGGAGAGCAACCCAGGTTTTATTTTTGGTGCAAGGCTGAAATCTCAGTGCAAGTCTGAGGGCCAAAAGTCCGGTGGAGAGCTCAAAACAGTAAGCTGCGCGGCCGACTTCGTTGCCCAGGAAGCGAGTGGCGAGGATGATCATGGTCCACGTCAGCGAGGTGCCTGAAGCAGCCAGCCTGGCCTTTCGCATGCTAGGCGCGGGGCACGTATTTGGAGTTTTCAAGGGAAGCAGTGGTCAAACCATCCAACTATGAGGCTGAAAATGACACCGCCTTTTGGTGTTTGTTCTTTTTACGCAGGCTGATTTTGGAAGCTCTAAGGGCTGGACACTCCACTCAGGAGATCTTGCATAGGCTGCCGGCCATCCAAAGAGGCTTTGTTGCCCGCAGCTGCAAGGTTAAGAGCTTCGCAGAAGTGCGTTCCTTGCCACTGGGCACACACCCATGATCCGTGCCCCCTAAGAATACTAAATGCGGACCCCCTAATAATAATAATAAATGGTCTCTGGGGGACAAACCATATTTATAAATTGGGTGCTTTCAGTTTAGTGTTGGTGTTGAATTGGGCTTTTCTAAAATAGTATTGGGAGCAGGACATTTTCAGCCAGTGTGGAAAAATAGTATTTATCAATAGGATCCATTTGTTAAAAGGGGGAACCGATTCTAACAAGGCGTCTACCGACACCACCTTGTGCCGCCCAAGAAGCAGCGCAGCAGCACTTTGCCAAGCGATTGCTCCCAGGAGCCCGCAGGATTCTTTGCGGACCGCACACTTTTGCAAACACTTCTGCGATGCTTCTGCTTTGCTTTGCTCTTTCCTGGCTCCACAGCGCCGCTTCTCCACCGCTGCGCGAGCAGCTCTTGCCCAGCAATGCTTGCATTTCGCATCGCCCAAGTCCTTTCCACTGGGCGCGGTTGCTTGACTGACAACATGCAACAGCAGGCCCAGCTCCTCTAAGAACACATCAATCTTGCCCTGGAGATGTGAGGAAGTAGACAGACGAGCGGGTGTGGCGGGCAGACAGCCAGTGAATCTGTTGCGACTTGCACGCCAGGAGTCCAAGGTTCAGCCTGAAATCTAGCGTCGCCTATCTGCTGGGTGGGCAACAACAACACGTAGAGAACATGCTGTCGCCTGTTGGCAAACGCAAGATGTGTTAAGAGGAGAGAAAGGATTTGTTTAGCTTCCACCTTGCAGATTTGCACGGCTACGGCGAGCTTTCCATCTCTGCCTTGGAAGAGAACCCGCGCCTTTGGAGTTGCCTGTCTCCAAGGCTTCCCGGGAAAGCCGGAGGGGGGGGGGGGGGCACATCAGAGCTCAGACATTTGTCATTTCGCAATGTGCAAAACACACGAATTTAAGGCGATCTGGGCACGACTTGTGGGTTTTTCTAGGCCATTGCATGCGAGCTGAACCAAGGCGACGGTATTTTACCAGATGACTTGGAAGCGATTTTCGAAGCCATGGACCTCAACCGCGACGGCCGGGCACTCAGCATGCCGGACAGGAGTGACACAGGGCTTGGAAGCGCCCGAGAGATGGTTTTCCACTTGTTCGCACTTTGCTGATCTATAGCAAATGTACATTTGGAAGAGTTTTGAGCATCCAGTTGGACTTTGGATTGTAGTTTGGATAATCTTGGAGATCATTCCTCAGATTCCTTTATGCCGCTGCGAATGCTGTTGCCAGCCAAGGCTACATCAGCTACCGGGCCTTTCTGGCTGTCACCCTCCCGGACGAGATCCGATGCAATGCCAGCATCCTGGAGGCCTGGCTTTGACCTCAGGTCCGTGGGGCTGTGGCTCAAAAACCTGCAAAACGGCACCTTGGCAAATGGAACCAGAGACTAAAACCTGCGTAACCCTAGCTCTTAACTTTCGAGCCACGCCCATGTGCTGCGTTCCAGTTCAAGTCTTGAGCTTCAGTTCCCGTGCCGAGCTTCTGGAAGCTTCATGTGCTCAGGTTCGCTCACAGATCAGTAGTCAAAAGTTGAATGGTTGCAACCATGGGGAAGAATCATGCGTGCATGACCCACGATACCCAGGCATCCAATGAATGGCACCCTCAGCTGGATTCTCCGTTTCTTCGGGGCCAGGTGACTTTTGGCATTTTGGACGTCAACGAGGACTCTTGGCGCTACTTGTGGATGAAAGGCCATAATTCCTAGGGCTGCAATGTGGGTATGGGTCAAAATCAAAGCACCAGGATATGGACCGCAGGGTTTAGTCCTTTCCATTTACCAGGGCAACCCATTTTTGGGGTCACCCCATTTTCGACCCACTCCCAATGTGGCGTGGATTGCATGCACTTGGCCAAAGGACGGCTTCATCGGCCAAACGGACTTGGCCAAGGTAGGGCCGATATGCTGCCCGCCCAGGGTGCCCGCAATGGGACGGATTCCGATGCCACGAGAGAGAGAGAGAGAGAGATGATTCTCCAGTAAATGCCAACAAACGTTCCCTTGGTTTCACTTCGTGGTGCGAAAGGATTTTGTCCACCATTCGTGACATTTTTCGGCATGGCCCTGGACCTCAGACCTGTGCGCGTTGGCCAGGTCTTCGGTCACGATGCGGATAGCGAGGTGTGCGATCTCACCATCAGCGAGGTGAGTAAGGCGCCAGCGATTTGTTTTTTGCGAACATCCCTTGGCAAACTTAGAATCGATCGCTTTAGAGCGCCCGTGAGCGAAAAAAATATCTTTGAAAAAAAAAAGGAAAAAAAAAAAAAAAAAAAAACAAACCCAGAGCGCCCGTGAGCGAAAAGTCCATCTGAAAGATTGCCTGCTGATTGGCCAGGATGGCAAAGTGTCTTGGGACACCTTCTTGGCACTCGTCGCGCCGGAGATAGTGGCTTGACTGCTATTGGGCAACGGATCTTTAGACTTTAACCTTTTGGTTGAACTCAAGTTGGGTTTTCCACTAAACCCCCCCCAAAAAAAAATGTTAATATATTTTTGCAGGGGGGTCAGCAACCAAGGTGGTTGCCAACGCCTTGCTGGAGCACTGCATGAAGCTGCCAAAATCTCGGCGCTGACTGGAGCTTGGCACCCGACATAGCCACATGGCCTGTTTCGGGCAAGCCAGTGCGGCACATGACCTATGGAGCCGGCAAAGCCGCTTTTGCTTGCAGATAGATGCTTCAAAGGCCAAGCATACACACCTAGGCAAGTGAAGGAGAGCAGATGTTGGCTGCTTGCAGTTGACTAGCCAGATGCAAGCAATCTGGCTACAGGCAAATGTACACTCATGTTTCACCGCCAGAAATGCCTCCACAGCATGCCTTACAATTTACAGGGGCATGCCAAATTCAGCCTCAGTAACGTCAAGGCGGCTCTCGGATCACTTGTTGGCTTTCAAAGTATTTAGGGACTTTGACATGATACTGTGGATGGACGAACTCCTGCACCACATAAGACCCTGGAATGAAGATTCCCCTGTAAATACCATCGAACAACGGTTTCCCATGCTTTCTCAGGTGATGCAGGAATTCCATCCACAGTGTTTAAAGGCCAGCCTGCGTTAAGTGGTTCGCTTCCAAATACTGGATTATCTCACTTACGAGCCTTCGCATGACCTCCCAGTTCAGGAGAGATTGCTCGTAGCAGTGCACAGCTATGTATCGCATGTGGCGTGTTAAAATTTCAGCCATTTCTGCTTGCAGCTTTTAATATGTCTGTGAATGCATGGACTCACGAAGTGAGGCTTTAATTCAAGTTCCTCGGTTTCCAGCGATTTGACCGTCCATGATATGGACGAGGCTCCGCTGACAGTCGGCGCTTTTGCCGCGCATGTGGCCGCTTGGGCAAAAGGGTTTTGCCTGGCCGATTGGGACCTGACACGTGACACAAGAGGCATTCAACTTATGGTTTTGTGAGGAATATGCTTTGAAGCCATGTCAGAACGATCGTTTCCCCATTGCTGATTCACGAGCATGCAGCATGTTGCATCACAAGTGTCAGAGTGCACAGGGAGGACGGGCCTGGGCCTGTGAATGTTGAGTCCAAAAGCTATGTTCAGCAAATTGCAAGGGCACTTCGAGCCACAGGAATTGCCAGTTGATATGGTTGAGATGTGCCATGAGCATTTAAAGCTGCAGCCACATGGCTTCAGTCACTTTCTGTCACGCAAATTCAGGACATGCCACCAGGGATCTCGGGAATGGCGGAGTTGGAGGAGCCCATTCCAACCGCCCACATTGAGGTGACCCGGATGTCAGTAAGACAGTTGAAGGCGGAGCTTGCAGCCAGAGATGTTGACATCTCCCACTGCCGAGATAGGTCGGAGCTGCTGGTGCTGCTGCGGAAGGCGCGAACCGCTGGACCCTGGGATAGTGGCAGTTTCGCCCGGAAGCGCGACAAGACTCATTGCTGGGTGGAGTTGGTAGATGGACGCCAAGCCCTTTGCCACTATGGGGAGGGCAGCACCGGCATCATGAACGTGGATGAGTTGGAGCCGATCGCAGCAGCGGAGTTCCCCAGTCCACAGCGATTTGAGGGCACCTTCGAGGCTGCCAGGGCCGAAGCCTTCTTGAAGTCCAAGCTGCTTGTTGTGGCCATTGTTTCAGGAAGAGGTAAGCCGGTGCGAGAGGAGGCCATGCAGTACTTGGCTCTGGCTTCTGATGAGGTTCGCACTATGCTTCGTGAGAGCGCGGTGTTTTGGAGAGGAAAGCCCCTGGAGTTGAAGGACACCCAGCTGCGCCAGCTGGCTCCCGTGGATCTTCTTCCCTCTTTGGCGGTGGTGGTGCCGCTTGCGGCGGACGCCATGACGGTGATCCTGGCGGTCCCCGGGGCCATCACTCGCGCGCAGACGCTGGAGAGCATCCTGGAAGGCGTGGAGGCCATGGAGGTCCACCGCCAGGTGTGGGTCCAAATTCAACCAGGAGATGGACCGCAGGTCGCAGGTTGTAGTCCAAGTTTCCATTTACCCGCGTTCCAGTTTGGGTACATATTTTTAACCCACCGCCAGGTCATGTTGGCCCGGCAGAACGATGAGGATGCGCAGCTGCGCCAGGCCCAGGACCGCGAGTACGCGGAGGCGCTGGCGCAGGACCAGGCGGCGGAAGCCGCCCGGCAGGAGGCCAGGCAGGAGCCCCCAGCCCCGCCGGATGATGCGCGGGCCTGGGCTGAGGAGTTCCTCCAGGAGGGCCCCTCTCCCAGCAGAGTGGATCCTGTCCGACTGGTCCTAAAGCTGCCCAGCGGCGAACGCGTGGAGCGCACCTTTGAGGCGCAGGACCACCTGTCGCGCGTCTGCCAGTGGGCCCAGTGCTGCCCTTGGCTGCCTGAGGCAGAAGGTCGGCAGTTACAAATCCCGGCATCCTTTCAACTGGCAACTGCATTTCCAAGACGGAGGTTTGCAGCGAGTGAGCTGGAGAGCACTCTCAGAGAGTTGGGCCTTGCACCCAGTGCAGCCTTGTTGCTAGAGGAGGAGTCTTGATAGATTCGGCCAGCTTCAAAGAAGCTTGGCTTTGTAGGCAGCTATGCTCAATTGAGACGTTCTGAAAGGGCCTGATTGGAGACATTGGAGGGTATGATGGTTGGAGCAGCTCGCTCAATGCTAGCGTGTTATGGTACCTGCCAGCCTGTGATTTGCCGCATGCATGCTCAAACAATTTGCTCCAGACCGTAGGTGCCGCAGTATTCAATCGGGTTTAAACGTTGAATTCGCGAAGACACTTTGCAGCGTGGCCATGTGTCACTAAGATGGGCACATTCACATGGAACCAGCCTTAGCAAAGATTCGAGGGGGTTTGGAGAGATGAGTTGTATAAAAACCTCGGGAATCAAACATCTCGCAGAGACCTGACCAGCCTTGAAGTGTCAGGCTATATACAGGCTGTAGGCCCACCAGGCTGTCATGCAAGGCTGGCACGGCATGCGCCGGGCTCTGTGGCCATGGTTGTGCCTAGCCGCGATCAGTTGCCCTGGTTGGGTGTCCCAACCGAGACTCCAAACTCGGCGGGCTCAGCGAACTGGGCGTGCAGCGGTGCTGGAAGGCGAAGGCATCCTCGGAACGCATGACGAGCTGAGAACGCTCTTCCGCATTCCGGCGCTCAGCATCGGCAAAGGCGAAAAGGTTGCAGTCGTGGGGGCCAACGGATGTGGCAAGTCCACCCTGCTCTCTTACCTCGCTGGGCAGGCCAAGCCCAAGCAAGGCGAGCTTCGCCTGCAGCCGGGAGCGCACATCACGATGGTTGAACAAAACCCACGATTTCTGGCAGAGAAGACAGCTTCTCGCTTGAACAAGTGCAGATATGCTTATGTCTTTATATCCACATGAGAAAGATGAGCAACTTCCTGTGTGCATTTGTGGCAATCAGGCCGGGTGAAACACCTCACTTTTCCAGGTCCTGGACACGATTTACGAGAAGGCGAGCTCGCCGAGCGCGCGGGCAGCCTACAATTTTCGGATGGCCACTTCTCTCGGAGACGAAGAGATCGCCAAAGCCCTGGACCAGATGGAAGAGCTTCCCGAAGCGTGGGCTTGGGATCAGCGCGTGGCAAGAGTTGCCAAGGCGGGGATGGAGTGGGCAGTCCAAAGATCTTCGCGCTTTTGCTTGAGGATATCTAAAGTCTAGCGCACAACTGAAGCGGCACAGCCTTGGGAGCAGAATCAAGGGCAATAACAATGTGCCCTGGGCTGCGTGCGCAAGCAGTTTGTTAATCCCCCTATGTACTAGGGGATTTGCATGCATGTCGACTATGCAAGAGTCACACAGACGCACCGTTGAGTGCTAGGGTCTTCTTGGTGCCAAAACGCAGGTGCCCGGCATCCAATGTTGCACAATTTAAGATGTGCATCTATTTAGATGTTTAGATATACGGAAGCCAGATGCAGGTATAGGTCTATGCCCAATTAAAAACAGCTACTACATGTATATGTATATGTACATATGCACATGCGTATGTATACAACTATACGGAACCCAGCAACTCAGACTGGAACAACTGGTTCTTATAGGGTCTTCCTTTGCACCAAGGCCGGCATGCATATGAACCTGAACAGTGGCTTGCTACTTGCAACGATTTGTCGCATGCCGCATGCCATGTTGTTTTGTTCAGGTGCCGTGATACAAATCTCAGAATCCGGTCCTTCCTTCTCTCCATCCCTTCCCCATGTTTTCCTCAGGGTTTCCTCCGTTTCCCTTTGAGCCTCCAAATGTGGATTTCGATCGTTGCAATGGACACCAAGTTGGATCAACTTGAGGAGAAATCCAGTGCTCAGCTTCCCTCTTGGTGGATTCAATTAGTGGTTTGATGGTTTGGTGGCGCCCTCCACCAATTGGGGGGCAACGTTGTCCCCGGAACAATCGACCCCAGTTTTACTTTCGGAGGTGTTCCCCTCCAAAAGTGGTCTGATTCATTCTGATTCCCCAGATTTCACCCAGAATCGCATACCCCCCTACTAAACCGGGCTTGATAAGTCCGGGGTCCACATTCCTTCGATAACTGGGGGGCTGAGAAAAAAATCGTAATGAACCTCTGGATGCCACGAAGAAAAGCCACCAGTTGGATGGTTTGAAGCCTTGGACTTTGAAAGACCCCTTTGTTCTGCATGTGACCCATAAAAAGGGACAAATAATTGGCAGAAGAAATTATCAGGGCTCCTTAAAGGATACATTTTGCAACCATTTGAAACATGTTGCTATTCCAACACCAAAAGCAAGCGACACCACCATTTACAAGGCAATGTTCAGGTGTACAATGTAAGGATCCCCGCTTGTATTGAAGCTCTGCCGTACTTCACTGCATGTTTGTCCGTTCAAAGATGGCTACACCAGGTATCGCTCTTTGTCTATTCCATCCCTGAGCTTTCGGGGTCCTTTCGGGGTCCTTTCGGCTAGCTGAGGAGCTGGGCCTAGCAGAGCTGCTGCAACGGCCCGTGGGCACCCTCAGCGGCGGCGAGGAGCGGCGCGTGGCCCTGGCGGCCGCCTTGGTGGACTTGCCCGAGACGGATATGCTGATCTTGGACGAGCGGCTTGACAGCAGTGGATATTTGGCTGTGGTTATCAAAACCCATGAGATCCCAGTTTGGTTGGTAGGTGAACTCACCACCAATTTTAGAACCTATGTTAGTGGGGATTGGGATGTTCACTGGGGTACGGGATTTGGACCCATGGCCAGATTTTCATTTTGACACAGAATTAGGCTCACTTTCTCCGGTTGCCACATTGGCGTTCACGGGTTCCGTGTTGAGGTGTGGGAAAACTTAAGCCATGCTTTGCGTGTGCAAGCACAGCATATCACCAGGCCGCTAGGCGTCAGCCCGAAAGCCTTCTGCAGACCGAAAGCCTTCTGCAGAGGCTGAGTAAATGAGAATTGAAATATGACTTGTGTGAGTTTGTGCTCTGCCAGGGACTTCTAGGTGTTTGTTCTAGTGGAGTCTAGTCAATCAATAAATCCTACAATCTACGTCGGAAATAATGAGACGTGTCATTTATGACATCTGACATGATATGATATGTACAGAAGTACGTATGTATACATGTATGAAGGCATGAATGTATGTAATGTATGCATCTGACATTATGTATGTAATGTATGCATCATGTATGCATGTCTGTTTGTTTGTCTGCATGCATGCGTGTATGTATGGTAATGTCATGTCATGTCATGTCATATCATGTAATGTAATGTGATGTATGTAATGTATGTAATGTTCTGTAACGTTCTGCAATGTAGTATCATGTCATGTCATGTAATGTGATGTATGTAGTGTATGTAGTGTATGTAATGTTCTGTAACGTTCCGTAATGTAGCGGAAGTAATGTAGCGTAATGCAATGTCATGTTATGTCATGTAATGTGATGTGATGTGATGTATGTAATGTATGTAATGCTGTGTAACGTTCTGTAGTGCAATGTAGCGTAAGTAATGTAGCATAATGGAATGTAATGTGATGCAATGTCATTCAATAGTAGAGTAGTGCAATGTGCTGCAATGTACTGTAATGTAATGTAATGTAATCTAATCTAATGTAATGTAGTGTAATGTAATGTAATGTAATGTAATGTAATGTAATGTAATGTAATGTGTGCACGTCATGTAATTGAATGTAATGCACCGTGATGGAATGCATGTATATATATGCATGAATATCGTTTATGTGTGTGTGTGTATGCCCGTGTACCTGATGGCCAAGGCTGGAGGGCTAGAAAGACTGACACATTGACATGTGTGAACACGTGTAGCGGGTTTGACTGCCGGTCGGCATGCAAGGCCCACCAACCACCTCTCTGTAGAAGGCTGCGATTTCTTGCAAGAGACACTGGCTCAAGCAGGAGATTTGAGCCTCATCCTCGTTTCGCACGACCGTCGCTTGGCATTTGTGGGAATTTGTGTGGGGTATTTCTTGGGCTTGAAAGTCAATTGAAGCAGCACAACCCCTTCCCTTCATGATGAATATGCCCCTCGAATCCCAGTAGAAATATTGCGGGGACAGCAACATGTGTTACTTTGATAAGGTGCATTGGTTCATACGGGGAACTGACTATATTCAGCTAGTTGTTTTGAGGGGCAATTCCCAACAACGAAGCCTTTCCAACGAACCCGTGCAAAATAAGGCTACTTCCTGGACTCGGTGTGTGACCAAATTCTTGAGATTGATGGCAATGGGGAGACGTACACACATCCAGGAAGTTGGGAGAGGTTCCTGAAGAGACGCGCCGAGCGCCTTTTGGCGAGCATTATAATTGTGACTTGAGCCACGTCCTCGAAGGTTAGAAAGGGACAATCCCAACCAGAAATGATGGGTGCAGCCGCCTTTTCAATTCATTACATGGTTCGGGGTAAGCCATTGTAATACCAGGTCTAGATTATGAATCACTTGTGCATAGGTAGGAAATACGGGAAATACGGTTGTGGCCGCCTTGGTTTTCCCACCGGTAAACTTTCCTCCGCAAAAGGAAGCAGGTGCCTGGTGGCTAAGATGGCAGAGCTGCTGAGCTTCGGCGATTTAACTTTTACGGTCGGTGTATGTTCGCGTGGAAAAGTCGCAAGGTATAGGCCCTGTGTTAAACAAAATGGGGGGGACTCTGGGATCTCAGTCCCCATATGGGTCAAAATGAACCCACCAGGGCATCTCAGGTGTTCGTCCTTTCCATTCAATTACCAGGGCAACCCATTTTGCACAGCCATACTGTGGATGGACGCCATCCTGCACCTAAGACACCTTATGTTGATTCCCACTATAAAAATCAATTACACCAGCATAGACCCCAGATAGCACACCACGGCTACGAACCATGACGCAGCATCACAATGGTTCCCGCGGCATGATGATGATGTTGACAGCATCTTGAAAATACCACAGCTACTCAGCATAGTACGCTACATAGACGCGCAAACAACGCCCTAGTGAGTCCATCAGCAAAACGATGATGTTGACAGGATGATGCTGATACACCAGCCACGAACGATTCCGCGCTACATATCTAGCAGAAAAAAGGCAGAGACGGAGTTCGACAGCATCACGATGATGCGGACAGCATCATGGTGACGCTCACAGCATCCTGGTGATGGCAAAGGCAGCATCCAGATGACGCCACAGCCACGAATCATCTTGCGACAGTGTAACGCGGCATCGCAGCGATTGCAGCAGCATCATAACGTGGTTGACAACATCATGATGATACACCAGCCGCGAACCATTACGCGGGACAGGTAGAGAAGCAACAACATCCGAATCGGTTCAACAGCATCATGATGCTGCTGACAGCATCATGATGCTCCGGCCAGCATCATGATGATGCGACAACCACGATACCCCAAACAGCACCCACCCTAGCACCCTGCCATCCATATGCGCCCGCACCATCACCAACACCCGAAAACAGCCCCAATAGCACCCCAACGCAGCACCCGCGCCAGCACCGGACACGACGTCCCCGAGCACCCTGCCGTCACGTACTGTCACCAGCACCTGAACCGAACAGCGCCCCTGCGCCAGTGCCCCAAAGTGCATGCCCCCTAGCTCCCAGCCGTCGATCTTGCAAAACAATTTCCCTTCTTCATTGGAAGTTTATGGTTTCCAGTTATCTGGGAAATAAGCCCACTCCAACAGCAACACAAAACAGCACCTGCACCACCACCCCAAACTGTATGCCCCCTAGCACCCGCCGGCAATCTCCAAAAATTGCGCCCACAACGTCAGCAGCACCTCAAACAGCACCCCAGAAAGTACCCCAAAACAGCTGCATCAGCTCCCCAAACTGCATGCGGCCATAAATCTTGCAAGAATGTGCCTGCACCATCACCAGCACCCCAAACAGCACCCCAAACTGAGTGTGCCCCCCCGCTGTCCATCAGTGCCTTAACAGCACAGGCACCAGCACCTTAATCAGCACCGCAAACTGCATGCCCCCTAGCACCCGTCCGTCAATCTCGCAAAACAGCACCTCCACCAGCACTCCAAACTACATGCCCCCTATCTCGCAAAGCGGCACCGCCACCAGCACCCGAAACTGCATGACCCCTAGCGCCCGGCCGCCAATCTCGCAAAACAGCACCTCCACCAACACTCCAAACTACATGCCCCCTATCTCGCAAAAGCGGCATCCACCAGCGCCCGAAACTGCATGCCCCCTAGCAACCCGCCGTCAATCTCGCAAAACAGCATCCACCAGCACCCCAAACTACATGACCCCTAGCACTTGGCCGTCAATCTCGCAAAACAGCACCTCCACCAACACCCCAAACTGCATGCCCCCTAGCACCCGGCCGTCAATCTCGCAAAGCGGCACCTCCACCAGCGCTGCAAACTGCATGCCCAGTAGCACCCGGCCGTCAAGCTCGCAAAACAGCACCTCCACCAGCACCCCAAACTGCATGCCGCCCAGCACCCGGCCCTCAATCTCGCAAATCACTTTCCCTTCTTTATTAGAAGTTAGAACCCCTATAGCTTTCAGCTATCTGGGGAACAAGCAATGGCTTCCCATAATTTTTCCTTAGGTGCTGCAACATGGATGTCGCAACCATCCACCTGCCAGCCATATGTGGGTCAAAACCAATGGTACCATTTTGGTTGGTAGGTGAATTCACCACCCATTTTCGAACCCAGTTTAGTGGTTGGATTGGTTGATGTTCACTGGGGGCTAACCAATTTGGGTGTTGACGGGCGATATGCCGAGGCTACGAGCGCGCCGAGGGGCAGCTGCAGGATGCCAAGGTGCAGCTGAGGCGCGCAGAGGCTTGGGCGCAGCGGGGGGCTTCGGGCCGGCGCACCAAGAACAAGGCGCAGATGCAGGCGGTGGAAGGGCCCCGCGGCTTGCGGCTTTAAACGCGCCAGGGGTGAGGAACGGGCAAGGAACAGACAAGTCAGAGAAGGGACGCCAGACTGGAAGGCAAACAACTGTTCAGCAGTTGTTTTTGCAGTGAAATTATTTGTGTGTTTCTGATCTTTTGCGGAAAGCTGAGCTTTCGGGGCTAGTTATTTGCTGTTTCGTCGTCTGGGCATGTGCACTTGGAGTCCGGCTGCTTGCGGCAACTCCTTGCTATGCCGTGACCTTGGAGTGCAACGACTCTTGCGGACAAAAGTTGGACTCCTCCCCATGGTTTGGAAGCCTGCGCAACTCTATCCTCTACACAGTACTAGCCTCGCTTGGGCATGTTGTGGTTGACATTTGGAGTAGAGTTGCTTTCTGCCGCCTAAGGGCAGGGATGCCATTGCAAGGGGATTTGGGTTGCAGCCCGGGACGCTAAGAAGGGAATCAAGACGAGCCAGACGCGCTCTCTATGGGTTGCAAGAGCGCGCTGAGGCTCCGACAGCGAGCCACAGAAGTCGTCAAGGCCAATGACGGGACACCGGACTTGGAGGACAAGCTGCTGAAGGGGAAGACGATTGTGGCGTCTTCCGGAAGTTCAATTGGCAGCATGTTCTTGAGGGACGTGGTAGTAGAAGTGCCAGGACGAGGGAACGTTCTGGACAACATCACTGTCAGCTTTGAGAGGGGCGAAAAGGTTGGGGTCGTTGGGCCCAATGGCGCTGGCAAAAGCACTCTCTTGAAGACTTTGGCAGGTGATTTAGATCCAACAAGTGGCCAAGTCTTCATTGGGCAGGGTGTCCTGCTGGGTTTCCTTTCTCAAACTGCCTTGGAGTGGCCGGATCCCAAAAAGCGCGTGATTGACGTGGTGACGGAGCTGGCCACTGTTGCCATGACCCAAGCAGACGATGGTGTTTTGCCTGGGGCGGCGGGTCTGAGCATGGAGAAGCGCAGGGCAGCCATGCTGAAAGCCATCAACTTCGCGCAGAGCCGCTGGGCCACTCCTGTCGGTATGCTTTCAGGCGGTGAGAACCGACGCCTCCAACTTCTGAAGGTGCTGGTGCAGCGACCCAATGTGCTCCTTTTGGATGAACCTACCAATGACCTAGATGCAGTGACCGTGGACTCGCTAGAGAGCATGTTACAGAACTATCCCGGGACCTTGGTGTTGGTGAGTCACGACCGGTCCTTGCTGGATGGCGTTTGCAGCTCCTTTGTTGTGATGCAAGAAGACGGCAGCCAGCCCAAGATTTGGGAAGGCTCGTTTCAGGAGCTGCGGCAGATGCAGAAGCTCCACCAGAAATCCCAAACTCAGCCTGAAGCTGCTGCAGCCACGCCGCAGCCTGCGAAAAAGCAGGACTCGAAGCAAGAACAAAGGCGGCTGGCCAGACTGGAGCAGCAGATTTCCAAAATGGAAGCAGACCTGGCAGCGCTGGACCAAGCCATGGCAGATGCATGGGCCACTTGTCTGATGTGAATCATTTGAGATATATTTTTTTGGGCAGCCTTCACAGCTGAGGATGATTCCACACGACTGGACGAGCTGTCGAGCGAAAGGACGTCACTGGAGGAGACGCTCAACGAGGCATACAAGAGATTTGAAGATCTGATGGAAAGTTGATGAAAATGACATGTTTGATGGCTTCGAGTGTGAACTGGTTGGTGACTGGTTGATCATTTGGCTGATTCAATGAATTATTTGGTTCATTGAGGAAAAACACAATGTCAAGAAGGCAATGTACTCCCACAAAAATTGAGAACTAGTAGAGACAATTTTGCTAATAAATTTGAAGACGGAAAGATTCAAAGACATTCAGGGTTTGGGTGGTGAGGAAGAACATTTTTGTTTAAATTGAATAATAATATACTAATTATTAACATATATATATATATACATATGTACGTATATTTTCTCCTATAAACCGGTACGGCCTCGAGGTCGCATTTCCCGTGCACAGGCAAGCCGTTGCAGCGGTACTCCGGCCGAATCGTAGTGCTTGCGGCGAGCGGCTATGCTTGTCCCGGTCTTTTCTCCGCGGCACAAGCTCCCGCCTCTTCGCGCGGCCCGGAAGGCCCGGAAATTTTGCCGAAATTTCGGGGGGTTCTTAACAACTTTGCTTAGAGTTCCCGCAGCGTAACCCGGCCAAATTTTCCCGAATTTTGGGTCGCTTCCGGCGACGCGGCTCTTAGGTTTCCGGACGTTTCCCCCGCAAATTTCTTCAGAATTTGGGCGGCTTTCCGAAAAAATTGCCGGGCCAAATTTCGGGAAAATTTGGGGACTTGTCCGAGTCGAAATTTCTCGAAAATTTTGTGCCGGGTGTCTCCGTATGTTTGCCTCTCTCTGTGTCTCCCAGTCTGTTTCCGTGTCTCCGTATCTATCTATTTCGTAATCTCTGTCTTTCTCTGTCTATCTTTGTGCATCTCTGTATCCCGATCTGTTTCTTTTTGGTGTTTGCGCATCTCTGTCTCTATCTGTCTGTCTGTGTCTCTCTGTCTCTCGGGTTGTCTCGGTTTGTCTCTGTTTGTCTCTATGTGTCCGTGTCTGTCGTTCGTCTCTATTTCTTTGCGTCTTTTTGTGTCTCTCTGTCTATTTCCGCGTGTCCGCGTCTGTCTATTTGGGTACTGTCTGTCTATATCTGTCTCTGCCTTTATTTTTCTATCTGTCTGCGCTTATTTCTGTGGGTCGGTTCACAAAGATGGCACACTTCTGCGTTGCCGCGTGCCGCATCTCCCCCCTTTCAAGCTCCGCTTGCTCCCTTGCGTTCTGTCTTTCTTTTCCTTTCTGATTGTTACTACTATTGTTCTTGCTTGCTTGCCTGCCGGCCTCCCTCTTTCTCTCTTTCTCTTTCTCTCTCTTTTTCTTTTTCCTCTCTCTCTCTCTCTCTCTCTCTCTTTCTCGTTAAATTTAGTTGTTACTTTGCTTACAAGTGCAAGTGCTGTAGTGTTCAAACAAACAGTCAACCGATGTAGTCTGCAGCTGCCAACCTTTTTAATCATGCGATGTAGTGAGCTCAAGGCCTGCGGTAGTGAACATACATGCAACACAAGTGCAAAGTGAAGCATGTAGTTTGACACGGCCCCTCAGTTAAAAGGTCTTTGTAGTACCTTTTCAACTGAAGTGCAAAACATGGATTGACAGTAGTGATGAAAACCATTGTTGTTCATCAAATCTACTGTATTGGCAAAAGTAGTGACCTGCGCTCAGTAGTTCACGCTGTTCAGGTTCCAGCTCGATGTAGGGCGGTGGATGGAAGTAGTGAGGCAGGCACTCGTTGTAGTGGAGCATGAGCTCAAAGATGTAGTCCCCATTTCTGGGCGCGATAGTCTTGGACCATCTGGAGTCTGTTGTCCAAGATCGTGTAGTAATGTATGGTGAAAAAGGTTGTCATGTAGTTCGGGGCTCCCCGTAGTCGCTCGTCGTCTATCTCGGGGAACGACATGTGTTGGTCGTACTCCCTGAGAAAGCGGTGCAGTAGTGCTTCGTGATGTTGAGTGAGGTTTGTCATGGTGAGTAGTGTGAATCCGTAGTACTGGATACTCTTGCAGAGGATGGTAGTAATTGCCTTGTGCTGAAAGTCGTGTAGTTGGTCTCTGTTGTAAGGTAGTGGAGTAGTTCTGGTAGTAGTAGGGGCATGTGGTAGTTCCAAAGGTAGTTGTTCCTGAGGCTGTAGTTGTCAGTGAAGGTGGTCATGTTGTAGTTCACCTTGTAGATGGTCTGTGGAATTGGTGTGGTTGGGAGGTAGTAGTTCTGTTGTATGGACATCATGTAGGAGATGTAGTCCCTTGTGAAGTGAGGTACCTCAGGAGTAGTGGTTGTTCAATCTGGAGTTGGATGATGACGTGGTTGGTGTTGTCGCTGGTTGTAGTGTGGAGTGAAGTCGTGTGGTAGTAGTAGACGTTGGCTGCTTCAGGTAGTGAAACGCTGAGCAGTGTGGAGTTGTAGTGGGGCATCCGAAGGTCTCCAGGGATGCAGTGAATGGGTCGCGTGTAGTCCAGTTGTGCCAGTGGAGTTGCTTGTTGTTGTGAGAGTAGTTGATACTCTTCAAGTGTGAGTGCAGTGAGAAACTGAGTGTAGGGTGTGTTGTCGGGAAGTGGTGGCGTAGTGGTTGTCCGGTGCTCAGTGATGCATAGTTGGTCCATCACTGTGGTCGGGTTGTAGTAAACCGTGTTGCCAGGTGTAGAATGGTTCACCTCAGGTGTAGTTGCCCTGTCGGGCGTAGTGGCGTCTCCCATCGTAGCACCTGCAGTAGATGGAGCGGCCATGGCTGCAGTGGAATGCAAAATGTAGTGAAACGGGGCAAAAACAAAATGAGCCTAAGTAGTTGCTATCAGGCAGGCGGCGCATGCAGACATGTAAAACAAACAACTGTAGTGTTGACTCAGCCGCCAAAAGTGCACGTGAAAATACATGTAGTTACTGTTACTTACATACCAAAGGTGTCGTGTCACATGTAGCTACTTACATACAAGAAATGTCTAAAGTCGTTGTTGTTGTTGTGAAACTGCTGCGCTGGTCGTTCGTAGTGCTAAATGCGTATGCCAATGCTCTGGATGAGCCTGTGTAGTGTTTCTTTGCCGATGCATTTGGCAAACAAATCTGCGCTGTTGTGGAGTGTGTTGATCTTAAGGATTCTAATAATGTCGTGCTTGATGAGGTCTTGTGTGTAGAGGAATTTGAGGTCGATGTGTTTTGCTCGTTTGCTAGTGCCTTGTCGTGTAGCAATGCTCTTGCCTGCAGTGGAGTCTGTGTGGATGCGTAGGGTTAGCTTGCTGCAAATGTTGGTTTCAAGAAGGAAGTTTCTGAGGTGTAGTCCCTCATTAACTCCTGTGCAAATGGCGTAGAGTTCAGACTCTGCTGAGCTGAGTGCTATTGTAGCTTGTGTTCTGCTGCCAAATGCAACTGTTGTTCCTAAAAAGATGATGTTGAAACCTGAAGTTGGTTTCCTGGTAGTAGGGCATCCTGCCCGGTCGGCATCGACATGAACGTCGAGATCCAGGATGTTGTTAGTGTTTGCTCTGAGTGTTGTTGTTGGTTCTATGGTGAATTTGTAGTGCTTGGTGCCGTGCAAGTAGCGTAGTAAATGTTTGACTCTCTTTCGTGAAAGTTCTGTAGGTGCTGTGAGGTCTCGTGCTAGTTCTTTTGTGGAGTATGCAATGTCTGGTCGTATGCTAACCATTGAAGTTTGCCAACAATCCTTCTGTACCTTTTGTGTTGTTCGTGGTCAAGTAGTGCTTCATCTTCTATTGTTGGTTTGTAGCGGGCAATTCCTGGAGTGTTCACTGAGTTGCAGTTGTTCATTCCAGACTCCTCGATCATGTTGTCGATGTAGGAGTCCTTTAGTCCAAGGTTGCAGTAGTTGCCAAAGTGGTCGATGTTTCTTCCAAGAAATTGTTGTGGTTTGCCAGGTTCGAGGTAGCCGATGTGCTTGAGTAGGACCTGCTTCTGGACGGCCTCGAAAGTGGAGTCGCCGCAGTCTTGTCTCCAAGTACCAGTAGATCGTCCACGTAGACCATGATGTAGCAGTCGCGGGTCGCATTGGTGTAGACGTTAGGTTCTGACTTTCGTCTCACAAAGCTGAGCTTTTGTAACACTTCAGCCAGGTAGTCCTGCCATGCTTTTGGTGAACTGCGTAGTCCACACATGGCTTTCTTTAGTCGCCAGATTTTGTCCTGTTGTGGACAAAGTTCTTTAGGTGGCCAAAGGTAGACGTCACGTTGTTTACCGTCGTGGTCTTTTGCGATGGGTGCGTGTAGAAATGCTGTAGAGACGTCACCTAGTCGCGCGATCCAGTTTGGTCGTGACATTTGTAGTGCGAGAAGTGTCCGGAGTGTCGTGAACATTGGTGTAGAGGCGTAGACGGAGTCTTCGTCCTCGATTTTCTCTGTGGCCTTTTGCGACGATTCGGCTTCGTACTCCTGGTCCTTTCTTTCTGTGTACCCATCTCTGATGACGTTGTCGTCGACGGTAGACGCATCTACTTCGTCGTAGACGTCATGTAGCTTCATTTGGTTTGACTCGTGTTTCATTCCTTCCAGTAGTTGTGTTTCGTCGTAACCTTCGTTGTCGAAGATTATGGGTTGGTCTTCTAGGTGTCGTCGTTTGTGTAGGGAGTGATGGATTTTCCGTTGGAGAGTGTCACTGCGTTGATTTTCTGTCGTAGTGGCGGTGGTTCTTTGGTTGCTTGCTCCGTGGATCTGATTGTGGTGTCCTTTGAGGTCTTCTGTGCTTTAGTTGGTTGCATTACTTCTTCCGGAGTTAAACGTCTTAGTGTTTGTCGAGGTGGTGCTGGTAGTGGTGGATGTTGTCGTCCGGTTGGTGAAGTAGCCATAGGGCTATCCGGTAGTGGTCGTGAACTTGACGTCGATGTAAACGGAAGTCGTGGAGGTGGTGTAGTGCGTTGTTGTTTTGTTGCGGGTTCCGCAACGATGTCGTCCGTAGCGTTCGTCTGTTGTCCGAAATCTTGCGTGGACCTTCTTTTCTCTGACGGTTGTAGTTGCGTACAGGGTAAGTGCTGTAAGTCGTCCCGGGTTGATCTAAGTCGTCCCGCGTGAGTGTGCCCGTTGTGTTTGTGGATGTAAGGATAGTTGTCTCAAGCATGTCATTTTCTGAAATCGCATAATTCTGTGCTGCGCGCATGCAAAATGTATGATGTTCTACTCGAGGTATCCTGACAGAAAGGTGC